TATGTTCCTAGTACCGAATTTTGCGATTTAAGTCACCCTCTTAAATAACAACACCTATATAGGTATATTTGCAGTTTAATCTGACCGGCCGCCCACCACAATGGGTTAGTAAATGATTTATTGAAAGGTACCTATATTGTGTTTATAAAAAATCGTATTCATTCCATTCGCGTACAGCATTCTGTTAAAGTATTTGTAAAAACTACATACGGCGTTGGAATGATCGTGTTCGCGCAAGTTATCGAGTGCGATAACTCCAAATAGATTTTATTGCCGCCCTAATCGCGACTCCTCTCCTCTGGGGTCGATGGCCCTATTATATGCTATTCTGAAATCGATTGCCCGACAGTAAAAACGGATTAGTTGATCAACGGCCCTCACAATCACATATCTTTACGGAATTATAACAGCCGTAAAGATTACGTACAGATATTGCCCTATCTCAGGTGATATAGGGTCATTGGCCACTAATTTCGGATAGCATATTTTTTAGTGTTGTCGGAGACACCGGCATGAAGTATAGTCACTCCTCCGTGCGACGCTTTCATGGTAACAAGTTGTCGGCACGTTGCCACCTCAGACCGTCTTGTGAACTTCGTCAAAGTGTCCAAGTGTGCGCCCGTTTTAGACTTTTACCTTCGCCAAGTTCGGTTGTCTTGTGTGTTGCGTTTGTGCTTGTAAATCAAACGTTTTACATCTTTCGCGTTTCGAGCCATATATATGTATATCGTTGTTGTGAAATCCGCACTCCGCTAAACTTAAATATATATATATATATATATATACTGTCTTGCGGTCTTCGTTTAGAATTGAGGCTTTGTCGTTCCGATCGTCGCTAAATTCATATAACATTACAACGTGACTTCCGCTGTGTATCGATCGGTCGACGTGTGTGTGTGAATTGCAAGTGCTGTCTACTATCAGCTTACTATCATTGTTTTGGTTGCCTGTTGTTATACCGTCGTGCCCAAGAAGAAACAACTGACCAGTGGCCTGACTGTCACCGTCAATCGGTCACCTGCCAACGACAACATCGGCATTGGAACGGAGTCACGTAAATACTGTCATTGTTTTCATATCTTATATTATTATATTATATACAAATTGTACCACGACTGTTTAGGTCGTGTTTGTCCGAATATTATTATTATTATTATTACTATCACCACGACGAAAGTGATTGCGATATAATTTATTCTATTATCAATTATTGTGTAGACTGTAAACACTTCGTCGTTGGTGATACGTTAATTTGCACGTTTTACTATTATATTTGTGTAAGTGTAATCCATACTTTAAATACGGCTCGGATGTTTATATTATTTTGTATGGTCGCCTCTCTTTAAGCAATATTCTCCACGTTTATACCCAGTTCATCTTTCGGTGGTGTAGTCATCGAGGCCGACCACAGATTTGTAGGAACCTTGTGGTTAACAGATCGTCTTACCGAAAACATGCATGTACCCATAACTATATATATACCAAACGCCCACTATAATACGTTCGGAAACGATTGTTGAAGGTATTGTGTCCACAATAAATCGTATTCGTTTTATTTAGGTACAACACTTGGACACTGCTTTAAAGTCTTTGTGAACTATAAACGGTGTCATATGACTATCGACTTGCCGGCAAGGTAAATCTTTCGGATATGACTAGTATCGAATTTCCGTTTCAAGTCACCCTCTTAAATATAACAATAACGTATATAACACCTCTGTCTCTGATTTTTCCAATGGTTAGAGACCCGACTATAATATTTCAAGTGTGATTTCCTATCCGTTTGGAAATACGAGCGACGGCGAACAAGAGGGTACCTGGTACCTATATGTATAAGTAATACGTAAAAAAAAACTTTTGTCGCCATTTTGAATTATTGGAGATAGCTATATGAATCGCTGAGACTTACGGCTATCCCTCATCAACAGCACGTTTATCAAATCTGTCTCATCCGTGGCACGTTTTTTTTCAAATTTTATTTCATTTTCTTATTCAAACGCCGTTTACCCCTCCGATACCACCTGCAGTGGCCACGGACGATCTCGTTGGGCGACGCAGTATACAATATACATACATATATATAATAATGTACCTACCCTATAACATTCGGTCGTGTTATACAATAATATAAATTATATTTATATACTACGTGTATACATACACGTGAACATGCTACTAACGTGTTTATATTGTATATTTATTACGATAGTGAGTGTGTATAATATTATATAGTATGAGCGGATATGAAAAAAAAACGTTTGCGTGATATAAACCGAATAAAAAGGAAAAATAGAAAGGCGTCCGGCCGAGACACTTATATACAATTTTGGGGAATATCTAAATAGATAATCTAGATAGAATTGATTTATCTTTTATGTTATCTAGATAATTTTCAACTCGTTTTAAAATTCTAATTACTTATGAGTACCTATTTAGATAATTTATTATTTTTATTGGCTAAAAAAAAAAAATATATTAAAATGAAAAATATTATTTTTTTTCAAATGTAAATTTGTTTTTTTGTTAACTTAGAGATTGACTATAGTTATCTTTTAATGAAGTTTATTCAAAAATTAATTTTATTTTTTTTATTTTTTCAAATTTAAGCGTTTTTTGTATTGTTTTAAATCAGAGAATGACTTTTCAAATGAATGTTCTAATGAATAAACTATTTTATTTTACGTTTGTATATTTTAAAATGTTTTAAATGATATGTTTTATTTTTACCCAATACCTACCTGTATCAATATCGCTGAATATTTGCAAAATTAATGAAATTATCTGATATTTATATCTAGATAAATTAAAATCAGTAAATACAGTCGTCTTTACCTTCATCCAGATAAATCATTGATTATCTATTATTCCTGACACTGCAGGTTATAATATAAACTATTACATAACACGCCATACGGTCATCCGACGATAATACGCCTATTATAATAATATAATATAATACGTATGTGACGCAGCCAACAATATCGTATCGTAACGCGTCGAGCGACGGGTCACGCGCGTATTTTACGCGAGTACAATAATATAATATTTTATTACTGCGCACGCGTCGTGCGGCGCACACGAGCTCGCCGCGCATAGACCGAGTCGGCGATAGCAGTCGCCGGACCCAAGGGCTAGAGGGTGGCGAAGTGTCGGTACGGGCGGGGGCGGTGTCGGGGTTCGCGATCACCTACGACATCGCAGGCTCGAGGACACGCCGTCCGCCGTCCGCCATTTTTCACGTCGCGTCTGCGACGACCTACCTGTTGGGCTAGGGCTATACACGGCGTTTTCCGTCGAATTGAAAATGCGTTGGTTTATATCGAAGTGGCTATACACGACGGACGTGATACGCCGCGTTTTAATCCGCGGCGGAAAGCGCCGGTCGGCTTGCGTTTTGGCGGACGAACGCTGGAATAATAAAAACGCAAACTCTTGATTTTACGTTGTTTTAAATTAGGATGGGCTATACCGGTGACGGAAAACGTCGCGTTTACCCACACCGTAATTACAATAATAATTAGGTACAATAATGATTACAATAATTCTACGCGAATATTCGATATTTTATCTATTCGCTTTGATTAATTTACTCTGCAATAAATAATATATATAAATAAATAATAAATAGATTATATATTTCATATACCTATTTAAAAAGTACCGTCCAAGCGAATACATTATTTTGATTAATAATCGGTGTTCATAACTTGTGGTTGGTTACTTGATTTTAATTATTGATGGGGATATAATTATGTCTTGTCAAAAAACAATTATTTTGTAAAATAACAATCGTAAAAAAGTTCAATTTGTAGTGTCGTCAAAAATGTGGTAAACAGTAAACCTCGTCCTACGAACTTACTGCAAATGATCGATCGATGAATGTCTATTATTAATTAGTGCTATTCGATTGCGACGATGCAATATTTATATAATTGATACAATAACTATTGGGTTTACCATTTTTTTTTTTTAGATATTGTACAAATATCCGCAACGGATACGCCTTGTATAGCTAATCCGACGACGGCAAACGCCGTGTATAGCCCCACCCTTAATCGCGTGTCACTACAATACCTCACGTACACGACAGTAATGATATTGCCGTCGTCCGGGCAAGACGGTCGAGCCAGGGCCTCGGACACCGATCAAATTTAACACGGTAAAGATACACTACGTTCAAAAACGGCACCGCATCCTTCACGTCGGCAGATCAGTTTGGCCACATCAGAAAAACCAAATGTTGATTACATTTTTTTTTTTTTTTTGGGTCTTATCAGTTCTGTTCAAATTACTCACCACTAATTGAACATCGAATACACAATTAAGCGGGTATTCAAATTAAAAATAAATGGCGGAAAAAATATACATTTTAATACGTTGAAAATGCATTATTTGCCGAGTGTTCAAACTACGAACTGTGATACCAGTTTTTTTTAACTGGTAACACTAAATCGATAAAAGTAGCCAACGGGAAAATGGCCGCCACGGTTGTTTACTTTCAGCGTCTTTTCCGATTTAATGACGTACCAATTCCGTGGTGGAACTGCGAAGAAGTAGACGAGGTCGCCGCCGCCGCCGCCTACGTGCGCGCGCCGAGAACGGAAAACATCCGTCTTCGTGCGTGCGCGTCTGTAATACAATATTACAATTTATTGTTACATACCACCTATTACCTATATATTATTTTATGTGAACGAAATGCGACAAAATGTCCACCAAACACCACGTCTTGCCGATTAAAAAGTCGCAACGAATGTAGATCGGGCCTGTGGAGAGGGGCGTATACCGCCTAAATAGATAAAATTATTGTTTTCAAAGTGTACGGTTTTGATAAAAATATAATAATTACGTAATTTGACACAAAATTAATTCTATTCTAATATTATACGTACAAGTCGTATGAATTACAAATGATGATAAAATATGACGTACATGACAATAATATGTAACATACTAACATTTAAAAATATAATTAAACCATGCATACATAATCTGAACAATTAAAAATCCTCATCGGATACGTCTTCGCTATCCTTTTCATCGACGGACCAATCGCAATTTTCGTTTTCTAGTGTAGAAATTATCGGTTCCAACTTGATTTCCTTGGTAATTTCTTTTTCGTAATCAATATCTTGACGTTCTTCGGCCAGTCCAACAAACGTCTCCCAATCTTCCTGTGTGACTGCATCCACAGCCGCTTTCACCAATCTTTCAATATCTACCATATCAACGTTGTTTTGGTTTTTCAATTCCTCATCTGCTTTAACCTTTATCCAAATCGACTCAATGGGATTGTATTGACATGGGTATGGAGGCAACCTTATGACTTCATGATCCATTTGTTGCGCAATTTCGTCCAGTTCGTACTGTTTACACGTTGGTATTAGTTTTTTTACCCGCTCACGCAATTCGGACAACCGTTCTTCCGACGAAAATACGATATTTTGATTGGTCAACCACTCTTCAAGAACGGATCTTTGGCTATTCATTTTTGGAAAATTGTTCACAAACATCGATTGGTAAGGTGCTTTGTTCATGACAATGACTGACGGCTCATTAAGGTTGTTCAACATTGAAATAAACCATGTTTTAAACACTTCGGCATTAATTGACATATGGTGGTCGTACTCTGAGCAGCTGGCATTATTATTTCGAAAAATTAACTTCAAATCTTCAACAAAATCATGCTTCACGGATCTTGCGTAGCAAATAGTGAACCATTTTGTTTTGACTGTAGGAACTTCTGATATAGCTGTTTGTGCAACATTTTTACGTGTGCGTGAACTGCTGTCGTTTTGGTTTATCCACGTTTCACCTACATAAACGACAGGACGGGTATCTTTTTTTTCGCGAAGTGCACATATTTTTCTTAAAAACGTACAACGTTCTGCAACAATGTCGTTTCTTTCCATCAGTAACTTTTTACCGTTGTTGCACTTTTTATAAGAAAATTTAAATTTTTTTAAAAGCGAACGCATTGTCGGGATAGAACCTATCCAAGCCCAATGTTTCTTTAGTTCGATAAAAACTTTTAGACACGTTGGGTACTCACCTCTATCATAGAATTCATAAACTGTTCTACGTACTATGTCATTATCTTCATCGTTTAATTTCATCAACAATTTTGCACGTTTATGTGTTTTTAGCGAAGTCCTGAACGAAGGGGATTGTTGTTCCGGACTTTCGTTTTTCCAACCTCTTTTACCTTCTTTGCGTATACGCCTCACAGCTCTCTCGGATCGGTTACAAATTTCACCAGTAATTTTAAAAGCATTAGTAAACAAAAATGGATGGATTTCTTCTTCTCTTGATAGGGCTTTTACAAAATTGTATACACTAAATATAATTTTTTTCGTCTGAATACGAGGATCACTATTAGACGCCATTTTAATTGTATAAAAATGTTTAACTATAAGAACACTGAACAGTAATAATAATTAATAAATAATAATGAAACGGTTTAATTCAGTTTCTTAAGACCGATGTAACACGCAGCACTACAGTGAACACACACAATAACCGTTGTCGAATAACGACGATCAGCGCAGGGAAGCGAATGTTATGACGAATACAACAGACATTCCTCGTGTACAATACGTTTGGTATATTGTCGCGCAGCAGCAGAACCCCACTATAAAACTACGGCAACCGAAGTTCACAATTGGTAACCATAACAACTGAAAAAGGGTCCATAAAAGAGAAACCGCCCGTCGTACTGCTGGTTAACGGTGCACCGTACAGATATATTATGTTAAGTTCGCGTTACCCAGTTTGAAAACCCCTATATAGTATTTGGCCGATTTATTGTATCAATAAACGTCCCCATAATATGTTTTTACAGGGGTCGATTTTCATTATTTCTGTCGACTAACAGCTATAGTGCTATACTCTGTTCCAAATAAGATGACTTGCGTTCGCGCACGGTGGGCGTAGCTAACGCGCCGCACCACAAATATATTGATTCGGCAGCACGACGCGACGGTTGGTGTCGTATCGCGGGCGGTGGCAAGCGATTTACTCCGATGCAAACTGAACGTAATTCGGTCGTTTGCGCATAAGACGTCATCTTTTTTGGAACGGAGTGTAGCTTGTATAGCTATAATACTCTTCGATCACAAAATCGTGTTGTAATATATTTTGTATATATCTATCTGCTATATATATATATATACATATTATAGGAGACTGTCCCTATTCACTCATCAATGTCCAAACCAAACCGCTGGGTCTAAATACTTGAAGTTTTGTACAAAGGTTCTTTAATCAATATATGGGCACTTTAAGAAAGGATTTTTCAAAATTCGACCTCTAAGGGGGTAAAAGAGGAGGTTTTTAAAACTTTGTATAGATTTTATGTTGCTAAATATTATGTATTTTTTCCGACTGTTGATCGCTGTATATAACTGATAGGTATTAATAAAATTAGTCGCATGTAATCGGCGAACCGCGATTGCAACACACAATAAATTTAATATCGGCGGTAGACAGTCAAAGTCCGAAGATAATGTGAAATTATTGTGAAAACATGCAGCTGCGTTCATCGTCAATTCTAATCTAATAATGCTATACCTACAATTAACACACACAAAATTAAATTGTGAATTCCGTGTAATATTAGCACTATCAATACAATTAAATTTAACTCAAACACACGGCTTACGAAAATGTCAAAAAAAAAACTAATATACGTGCAATGCCGTGTCGGGACAGCTATTGCTAATATTATAATATAATTGAATAGTCACGTATTTATACAGGAATAGAAATTTATTTACAGATAATATATGAATAATTACCCCTGATCGCATGACGCATATTAGTTGTAGTCGGGACTATTTGTCTTTTAAACCATTAGAATGGATTAAACATATATTATTGATTATTATTTTTACAGCCTAAACATTCAATAATAACATTATTATATGAAAAATATTTTATCTGCTGTCATATTGTTATTTTGAAATTTTTGAATCAAAATGCATTCTGTTAGTATTTATTAATTTACAATTAAACTGTTGAATATTTATTACATATTAATATGGTTTATATTCAAAAGGAGAGAAAAATACTTTCCTTAGACGCAAAATATCTGAATTCAACCTTGGACCGGTTTTAATAATATCTATTCTATACTTTATATGAAATCAAATATAGCTTAAAAATAATATCTTGAATCGGTCGAATATATTAAATTTCAAATGTTTTGAAATAATAAAATTTGAGAAATATTATTCATATTATTCACGCACAATAGTGCACAACACTCTGTTAAAGTATTTGT